TCGTCGTTGGCTTGCTCGTTCCATTTGGTTATTATCCTTGATGGTTTCCTCGTACTAATCCCTTTCCTTTCAGCTACATATTAACAATAATATATTCTGTTTTAGCTTTTAGGTTTCTCAAGATTCTGTTTGCGACACATCAATGAACGATGCGTGCGTTTACTTTTAAGTAATCATAAGATAGATCCATAGACTAAGTATCATGTGCGCGCTATCTGTACAAAGGTAAGCTACCTAACTTGGAGCGAAATTTATAAATTCTCTATCATTTTCTTATCCCCCTCGTTTAGCAAATAGAACATAATTGTTCTCGCGATAATCGCGATCGTTCGTAAGTACCGACTAGCCTACGCGACGTGCTCTCGTGTACTCGATAAGTACATGCTTCGTAAGTCATCCTCACGACTCGTCTCCGACACTCATTCCCAGTCACTGTCAATCTCGTCATGCATCGGGTTCCAGGGTGACCCCCTCGGATCAGTGCGTCTTCTGACCTCGACGGGGCGGTCCGCTGCCTAAGTCGTACGCGACTGGGGCTCGGGCACATGCTGGCTGACGGACTAGTACCATCTACGGTTAGACCACAGGGATGATTAAGTTCTACCCCGTGTGGCTGGGATGCGAAGTGTCTGTCTTGGCCGGCAACCGCCCAGCAGGGCCCTCGCGTTGACACTAGAAGTTTCATTGGTTCAGGGACTATCCTTGGTCCACGTGTAAGTCTTGGCGAGTGCGACAGTGACTGGAATTGAGCTAGGCCCGATCGGGAGGGTGCCGAGGTATGAAGTTATCTCTGTACACGGGAGTACATCGCCTAGGCTAGTCGGTCTTTCGAATAATCGCGAACTCGTTCGGGCGCGTCGCGATTTTCTATTAGCTCGCGTGTTTGATATTTCATTCCCTATTTTTATGGGAACTTGAAAATATCTTAGCGTTGCGACAGTAGAGTTTCAGTATACCGAACCGAAACCCCTTTTGTAAGACACGAAATATAATAAAGTGTCAGTAGAGTCATTTTAACTTAATTCGCTCCAAGTTAGATTAGGGTACCTTTGATACAGGTAGCGCCAGCAGGCTGCGCCACTAGGGCGCATGTCGGGTCTCGATGCGTAGCCACCTCCACGTGGTGAGACCTGGTAATTGGTACCGTTTTCCAAAGATTTTTCTTTGGAGAGCGATACCGAGCTAAGAGCTACGCACAAAGTTTGAGATATTTCCCATCTCTTGTAAATTTTCAATGTTCCCTTTGAACTTTGAAAATAAAGAATGGGCATTATCCGATAAAGTAATATGTAAATGAAGATAAATTCGGGTAAGTATTGCAAGGTATGTATAATTAAGGTAAGTATAAAATTTATCGACTTTGAGACGAATGATTTTCAGTGACAGAATGGTGTAGGGCATTGGTAATTACTTCTTTAATTAGTTAAATCGCTTAATTGGAAGACAATTATTACGTGTATAATTGTGTGTTAACCTAATTAACGAAATCAATAGTCTATCTTCGAGGGAAAATATTAATTTATAATTATTTGTTCATTTTTGACCGGGATTAAGTGATCTTTTATATTTGCAAACATGAAAGAGTCATTTTCATTTTTTCTTTTTAGGAAAAGAAGTGATTTTTGTATATGTAGGTGTAAAAGTATGGTTTTTAATTTCTTTGAAAAAGAAATATTAATGATGTGACTTTGGAAAGTTTGTCGAATTTTTTCTCCACGTGGCATCTACGATTATCAAAATTGATTAGGAGTATAAAATTGTTTGTAATTATAATATAATAATAATTAAAGGGGAAATAAAATTAGTGTCCTAACTTTATGGTTATTGTATTATTTACTATATTATAATATCTTAATTATTGTATTATTTACTGTATTATAATATTTTAGTTATTGTATAATTACTATATCATAATATTTTAGTTATTGTATTATTTACTATATTATAATATTTTAGTTATTTGCTAATATTATTTATAAATATAACTATTGTTGCAGCAAAATGATATTGTAATATCTCTTTTCTAATATTTAATTTTGTATTGCTTTTATGAAATAATTCTACTTTTGAGAAGCTGATTTACTCAAAATTATATGAAAACAAATTTTACGTTATATAATGTATCTTAATAAAAGTGTGCATATGCATAGAAATTATTCCAATATTAACAAGTAGTCATAATTCCAAACTACGTAATAACTAGTTGCAATTATTATAATTTCTTAAATTATACATTTTATGTGCTCTGATATTCTGAAGAGATCTAATTCCTTTTGCAATTTTACGCAAATAATGTATTTGATCTCAGGTCACGTGATCCCCTAATCATGATCAGGAGTGTTCACCATAAGTGTCAGATATGGACAAACAGAGTGACCACGATAACCTAGATATTCTGCCACGCGGAATAAGATGTTTGGGCTTTATCTAAGAGGGACATGCATTGCTGTATGAGGTGAATATTAATCAAATTTATTGCATCCTGTGAGATATTATATTGTTAATTCACGATTTATTACCACAAGTGTCTGTATATTTTAATTAAAATATATAAAACTGCCACTTTGTAATCATAATATTTATTTGATTAAAATTCAATAGAAAATGCAATACCTTTCCTATAAATTTATAGATAACAATCTATAATTTTATCTAATACTTACTAAAATCAAAAGAAAAAGAAATCTAAATTTTTAAAGAATTAAATAATTAATTATACGATATTCAGATAATATTAAAAATATTTTAACGCTATTAGAGAAAATTAAAAATAATATTAGGAATATTTAAATAATATTCGCAAAAATAGTATCAGAAGTATTAAAATAATAGTTAAAAATAATTAAAAATTGGGATCAATTAAAAATAATAGTAGCAATGTTTCGATAAATTAATGAATTGAAAACAAAGTTATAAATATTCAAATAATATTAGAATAAATTAGAAATAACGCCGCGATGTAGACGCTTTTGTGCACTGCAAATTCCGTGTGTAAAGACTGGCCATAACGGGTTAAATTTACTGAGAGATTGAATAAGGTACTAAGCCTTTGCCAGCGAAGACAAGTCTAATACATTTAACGTGACACGCGAGATAAGATTGAGAACAGTCAACCAAGCGCAGCCTGTCTTTCCTTATCTACTATATGCCCTGCTTAACACGATAACGTTCTAATAACTATGTTAAATTTTTGAGACTGAAATTTCCTTTCGTTCAATGCATCTTGGAAAAACACGACGTGCAAACGATTTCGTCAAACTCCATCCTCCATTGAAAAATTTCTTCCACGTAATATCAATGACACCAACATAGCTATACGATTCAATGCATACGTAAAATATCATTGCACGCGTGAATCAAGTGAAAATATTTACGTGGAAAAATAAAATATTCAAATATATTCAAAAAAGACATTATTTTTATCCACCTCTAGTGCATTTCGACCAAGGTATGAATCCAATGTTCTCGTTCTTAATTAAATAGGTAATAATTGAATTTAAAGACTTGAAATCAGCAATATTCGCGTGTATCTAACTACTTTTTAAAAATAATTATTTTAAATATTTTTATTAAAATACGTAAAAGGTATATTCTTAACTAACCTCGCATTCAATTCTTTCAATGTTCACAAGGCATTTGCGATTATCCTTTTCAGCATGAGATATGATATTTTTGCTATTCGAATAACATTCAGAATGAATTGGAACGAATTTTCGAATGAGAATGAAATTTTATGTTCGTAAGCAAATGGTGATATTTTTATTAGAACAATAATCTACTGGCATTTAAAGTACCTATATATTCATGATATGATAAAAGGTTGATCAGTAGATTGTATTATAAAATTCTTGCTTCAAAAGCATTATACAGTATTATTTTTATGGGTCTCATCTTGCTAATTAATGGTAATACTATGTAAAGATCGCTGTTTTATTTAATAATAAATGATGGAAAATTAAATATTTCTTTGTTTAATAACAGTGTATCTTTAATTTATATATGGATATTTAACAACGCTTAATTAACGGAGTATTTTATTTTCTGTCATGCTCTTTTTAACGTTTGTCTTGTTATTCTAGCTGGACTATCTCAGGAATTACCCCCATTATCGTGTAATTATATTTTCTCCATTTTCTTTTCTAAATACCTAGCAATTTCCTCGATTCTCTTGAGAAAGCTTTCAAATTAACGATTGTACTGAAAACTTCATTAATTATATCAAATTTTCTATTGTTCCTTTTTACTTTTAACTAGTAAATTTTGTTGTTAAATAATAAAGCTTTATAAAAATTTAATAATTAAATTTTATAATTAAACTTTAAATATAAAATATGAAATGTAAGAATGTTATAGTTAGGAAAGCAACTTATTAATAAACTCATAAATAAATAATAATTAGAATTAGAATTTTGTATGAAATACAATTTTAAATACAATTGAATTACTTTGAGAAAAAGAAAGTGGAATTTAGTCAATTTAATTAAAGATTGTTTTAATCACTTTGCAAATAATTCACAAATTAATGATTCTCAAATCGTTAAATATGATTCAACGTTCTAATAAATTGCATATAAATAAATAATTTATTAATATATTTATAAATAAATATTAATAAGAATTAAAGTTTGTATCATGGAATGTAATTCAAAATGCAATTAAATTACTTTAAAAAGAAGCAAGAGTAATTTAATCAACCCAATTAAAAGTTACCTTACCCCCTTTACAAATAATTCACAAATTAAATATCTGTATCTACAGTTCCATATTTTCCTATAAATAAGAAATTATTTACCAAGATTATAAAAGAACCGGACACGTACTCACAAATCTAATCCCCCTACCTAATTCAAACTGGAATTCGTGTACACATTGAAATCCTAAAAGAACCCTTGCTTCCTCGAAAGCAGCCAAAGAAATAAGGACAAGTAGATTATTGCTCTAATAAAAATTCAACATTCATGAAAACAACATCTATTCTTTTTTGGGGGTGAAGAAGATACCTTGACGCTTTTTATAGGAGGGCAGCCCCACCACAGGGCCACAACCCCCTGCACTCCCCGCGACAGAGGAGCTGATGGTGGCAAGACAGGGAGCCCCCTGACCGCCACCCCCGCGTCGTTCCAAGTCACGGCGTCTGCACCCACCTCCGCCCCCGCCACCACCGCCACCCCCGGCGGACAACACCACGACGGGTCCAGGGGTACGTTTACGTGCCCCTTCTCGTGCGGAGCCCCTTTTTTCCGAGGAGGGCCCCGCGATCTCCTGACGCCGTAGTCGCAGGCTTCTTCGAGCCCTGCAATCAATTCATCCTCGGTCTCTCTTTGTTCCTCTGCCACGCCAGTCTTTCTAAGCGAATGATTTTGCTATGCGAAACTTCGACGGGAATATTCGGGAATGGAGCTAGCGTTTGACGAGTAATGCGACGTTTCTATGGCCTCTTACATTTCGTAGGTACTGACTTACGAAAGTGGCCAAACTTGTTGCTGCATCTTACGACCCAGCTGTAGATTAGGTGCTGACAGTTATGAGTTTAACAGAGATTTCTTAGGTGTTTAAAGTGGAGACTGGTTTTCCTGAGTTTTCGATCTAGATAGACGAAGTGATATTGATGGTACGTTTTTGAACGTCATGAGTGATTTATTTTTTAGACGAGTGTATATGGAAGAGAGACTTGGTATAGAGAATACTGCTTTTAATATGTGAAATAACTGAAAATTATAAACAATTAATTGGTTTCAACAAACAGGAGTCAGTAATTCGTTACATTAAAAATTCTAAATGTATGTCTCCAAATAACACAAAATTTATTTTTCTGAATATTTCGAATATAATTTTGTAAATAATCACAGACATATCTGTAGGATACCATTTCAGAAAGAACTACCGTCTTATTGAAATATGTATTATGTAATTATAAATTTTCTAACGCGTTTAAGTACGGGATATATGCGTAATAATAATAATTACAGTGATAAAGTGAAAATAAATTAGCATATTGTAGGATACCATTTCCAAAGAAATCGCGAATCGGCCATTGCCAACAAAAACAAATTATAAACCGATCAGTATTTTCTAAAAGCAAATGGAAAAGTTATTTTGGGTAACAAAATTAAGTTGCGTGGTCCCTACGAAGAGGTGAAGCGTAGATTAAGAAAAGCATAAAAGCAGGGCCCTCGACGACCAAAACAGGGTCCTTAGAAATCAAATGTGACCAGCACGAGCGTGAATCGCTCGGTGTTGGAAAGAGAGTTAAATTAGAGTGCGTCTTTGTGTGTTTTCGTTTCGTAATCTTGGTGTTCCTTTCCTAAGTAAAATTAGTTTTATGAGTTTTGTGTTTGTGTTATTCTGTTCTTGTCGTTCTGCCAGTTTTTGGTGTCTCGAAACCAGTTTTCACGATCCTACAATACGTAATTACTAAGTTTCTGACTAGATGAAAATTAATATTAATTTTAACAAAGGAATTGTTTATTTTCAATAGGAGAGAAAGCAAAGAGAATATGATTTTTCGTTGCTAAATGTGTAAAATTAATCTCGAGATAGGGTTATTAGCCTATAATATAAGAATTTTCAGATGCCTTTTAAAATTATTAAAAATAATTTTAAATTCGATTTTGTATTCAGACTAAAAACATCAATAAAATGTTTACTTTTGAAATTTGTTAAATGCAATTGAAAATGAAACATGGGTTAATCTGTAGATTTTTATGGAATAATCTAACTCATAGATTAATCTGCGATGATTATTCGAATTCAAATGAATTTTAATATATAATTCGAAATAATTATTTATCTAATTATTATAGAATAATTTAAGGATGTACTTTACCATTAATGACAAAATAGCACGAATTTTAAATTACAGAGTAATTTTCGTCTAATTTATGGGTAAGTACGTTCTAACCATGAATTCAACTGGACATGTATGTATACGTAAACCAAATCGCGAGATAAACACGAGTTTCAAATTACAAAATAATTTCAGTATAAATGACAGATAAGCATACACTATTCGATCTCAAAGTAATTCGAATGACAAATTAACAATATCCATTTATATAATTTTTACAGAGCAATGTAATAATGTTGAACGACATAACCATAATCGATAACTAAAATAAATAATAAACAGCTTCATACTATCTAATTTCAAATTAATTCCAATATCCAAACTAACAATATTCAGTTCTTTAAATTTTATAAAAAAATAGAACAATAATGGACGACCCTAATCATTAACTAAATCTTGTAAATCACATAAATTTCGAATTATAAAATAATTTCCATGCAAATGATGAATAATTGCAAACTAATTCTAATATCAAATTAAGAATATTCATTTACCTAATCTTTACAGAACAATATAACAATGCTAAACCTCATTTATTATTTAAACCACAACACCATGAATTTTCAGTTTCAAAATAATTTTTCAATTAATAAATTATGCGAACAACACGAATTTGAAATTAAAAATTTCCAATAATTTCTTTAGAATTAAAGGATTCGTGTAAACAACAATTATTGCCAATTTCTTTTTCAGTTTTCAAGTATTAATGCACTCTAATAGTTACAACTATTAAAACTATAGTTTTTAATTATTTTATATTTAATTTTAATTATTTATTAGCTTACATCCCCGTGGGATCGGTATTACAAAAGGCAATATATTTTTTGAATTATATTATAATACAAGAAAAGAAATTAGAAATAGTATAGTATTTCCTTTCTCTCTTGAAAAATTGATAGAATCGTTTCTCATATACACTATCCAATTGATAAATAATACACAAATTATAGTAAATTATTTTTCTTCGAATATTAATAGCAATATGCATCCACAATCGATCGCTCGATCATGTATACTCGCATGTAGTTGTCAGCTCATTCCTTGCTTTTCCATAGTCTACAGCTGGCTGCAGCGCAGTTTCCGCCTGGATTCGCGTTCATGGAATTCGCGGAGAATAGTGGAGAATTTACGAGGAGTGCGATTTAAAACTTTTACACCCGTCGAGTTCGCTCCGGTAAATCGAGTTTCTATCGGCCCGAAAACAGCCCTTGCTATTCAATTTTTGTTTTCCAGCTCTAATAACCCACGCGCTTGTCTATTAACGTGGATCTTCTATTCCCTTCTCGATGAAAAACATCCGAGAAACCGTAGTGATTCAACCGAGAACACGTTCAACGTTAAATGTCCCAATTAATCACGATTGCGTTCAATTTACAATATTAAAACATAACACACCTATTCAGTGTTATGATACCGTAGACTGCCAATTTTTTCAATCTCAAATTCGTAGTTCAGCCGAATTTTTATATCACTATACGTAACAGAAAGCACGTTTCGAACGTCTGCAAGTACTTGTCACAATTTCTTTTCGTATCAAACAAATTTTACATTGTATCGTATCTACAACTTTAATAATAACTTTAAGCTTCGTTGGAATTCTTGAAATTTTCGGGTAATATTTCAATCGAATATATTCCTCGGACGTTAATTGAAACTTCGAACCGATGCACAGTGAATAAATATGCCGAGATAGTAAATGAAAAAGGGGGATAATTCGATTTAAAGAAACTGGCGCGGGGCTCCAGGTAGATGGGTACGTAACTGGCACGGCAAAAGGTAAACCGGTCCACTTTTAATTTTCATTACGAACGGAATGACTGGCTGAGAAATTGGGACGCGGAGAAAATGGAATTTTTCGACGATGGTTACGTGCTCACCCTTTCTCGAGTACAACCACGTTGTTTCCTCTCTTCAGAGATGGAGTGTCTGAATTAACCCTCGGGATATTAGTTTCGACGGACAGGTATCCGAAACCCACGATGCGTTAATGGATCAGGTACGCATGCGTTAATTTCGATGGAAATACGCGACGCCTCTTTTGCGAGAGAAACGTTCTACCCCTTTTACGACTTAAGGCGATGCGGAGGGATCCTCAGAGCTGTCATAATGCTTGGTGGTTAGGTGAGGTTAGTCTGTCTTCGCGTGGAGATCGCTTTGTTAGTACCTGAAATCAGTAAAAGGAAGAACGTATGTTAGTTTGGCACGTGAATTTATTGTTGGTTAGGTTGTAGATCGATGGTTTATGTTGGGACCAATCGAATTCGCGCGCCATTGCGAGGCGTAGTGTCAACGCGTGCCGCGCGATGTCGCTGCTGTAAGAATTCTCGATACGCGGTTGCGTGTCTAGCGCCATTCTTTCTCCGTTACGGCTGTAGTGCGAGTGACAACGGGTAATTAGGTTATAATTATTCTCCATTCTGTGGTATTCATGTGGTTAAATGACGCTCTCGATTGATGCTGAAATGATATTCGATGGTTTTATTCGTACATCGTGTAAATGCAGCAATGTATTAGGGTGTCCCATAAGTTTCTTCCTTGTTTTTGATGCGAAATCGATAGACGATATTTGTTGTTTAAGATTCATTTGCTGTGTTATATATGAACCGTTCTGCTCTATTACCTTCTTCCATCTCTCAGGAAGCCTCATTATGCCCCCTTTCCGAAATTATTGAGACTTACTTTCAAAATATTCATCGAGGTGCGTTTTTATTTCGCTTTCGGATTTGCGACGTTTATTAGACAGAAACCCTTACAGTTTGATTGGGACGTTCTACCTCATCCTCCGTACTTACCAGACCTTGCCCCATCCGATTATTACTTGCTTTTCTCATTAAAAAATTCTATCCGTGACAAATGTCACAAATCCGAAAGGGAAATAAAAACGCACCTCGATGAATATTTTGCAAGTAAGTCTTAACAATTTTGGAAAGAGGGCATAATGAGGCTTCCTGAGAGATGGAGGAAGGTAACAGAGCAGAACGGTTCATATATAACACAGTATATCAATCTTAAACAACAAATATTTTCTATTGATTTCGCATCAAAGAAAAAGAAGAAACTTATGGGACACCCTAATAAATCAAATTTGGGTTCTGATATTAGCCTCGCTGAGAATTTATTTCATGTTTCTATCTGTATATTTTATAACTGAATACAGGTAATAATCAATTTAGTATGGGTAATAATAAGTAAACAAAATATTAAACTAAAATAATTTCTTTTCGTTTATGTATTTAGAAAATAGTTGTACATTTCTCCATTTTATCAGTTATTCATTGTAGTTTTTACAGTTGGTAAGTTGAAATTAAACTGTTAAACTGTTTTTTACAGTTAAAGTTAGTAAGTTTTATACAAAACTTACACCATATGTGAACAATGTGATATACAAATTATTCTTTTTATATAAATTATATTAAAATTATTAAAATTATTTTCATAATTTATTTTTCATTATATATTTACTATACCAAAATTAATATTTCCAGAATACTAAATTTGAAGCAGATGTCAATAAGAAATATTCTAAGTATCTATAATTTGGTCGTCAGAATTTTATTTATTAATATTGTGCTGAGGAGGTATAATAATTTAAGTGAGAATGTGCAAAAGGGTTTCAAGGTATCTGATTATTGACATAAGAGTTAACCCTGTCTCCCATATCAGGTTTTGTCGAATCGTTCATCATTCCATATCAATCAAAATCAATTATCAATCATCAGAGTTTCGTACACAAGCATTAGATTCCCCAATATCTATAGTCGGTTCAATTGATATAGGAGGGTCATACATTAATATATTTAGCAACGATTGATGTCAAAATGATGCTATTGAAGTCACTGACACTTAGAATTGTTTATAATTTGTACCTATAGTTATGTAACGTCAGATAGTGAAATAAAAAGAAAAGAATTGTTCATTAACTATCAACTTGCCAAATTTAGAATTTAATAAAACCTAAACTAAAAAGAATTTGATTTCACTCTAAATTGAATTCGACTAAATTTCTTGACTCGAATTCCTTATTCTAATGTAATTTTTAATAACATATAAGTAATCAGTATAATAGAAGAAGTTTTAACATTAAAGTTATTGGAGAGGACGTAGTCGAAACTTTCATAGTCTTTCAAGGATGAAAGAGGGGAGAAAAGTCGAAGAAATAAAAAATAAAAATAAAAAATAGGAAAAAGATAAATATGACTAGATTGAATTAAGTTTGGTTAAATTAGAGTAGATAATTTATATTGGTAATATTGGTTATATTGGTTATATAATTTATTATTATTATAATTTATATTGGTTATGTTGGTATAGATAATTTATAATGGTTTGGAAACCACAATTGAGAGGAAAAGGTGAAAATGTAACAGAAAGGCAAGGAAAATTGGAAACTCGTCCTAAGCCGAAATTAAAAGACTATGATCTTATCTATCGATCTATCATTAAATTCATTGGTTTATTTAATAGTAATATATTTTATAACATATTTGTCAGTTGGTAATATTTTTTTCCAGTTATTTCATTGTTAAGAAACATCATGGGGAGTCTAAAAAAGTATATATACAAAACACTCTATCTTTTATAATAAATAAATAACTAAATATTATATTATTCGCGTATAAATGTAGAAACATAAAATAAATAAATATTATAAAAATAGCGTTATAAAATAAATATATAGGGATAAATAAATACGACATTACTCACGTATAAATATATATCGAGCGCTCATTTCATCCCCATTCCAAACTTACATCCCCTAAATATGTACAAAACACTGTTTCTTTTATAATAAATAAATAAATATTATATTATTCGCGTATAAATGTAGAAACATAAAATAAATAAATATTATAAAAATAACGTTATAAAATAAATATATAAAAATAATGTTATAAAATAAATATATAAGGACAAATAAATACGACATTACTCAGGTATAAATATATATCGTGCGCTCATTTCATCCCCATTCCAAACTTACATCCCCTAAATTCTGAAGCTAAGCTTGCTTTAAACTATGTAATACTTTTCACACGTAAGAGATAAAAAAAAAACCATAAATTACAATGGTAAACCTATATAGTTTTTCTCGGGTTAACTCGGATGCACAAGATACTGCTTTAAGTAGGATGACTGTAAATTTGCCATACTTTGCGGGCGACAAGTAGGGGAATGTGGTAATACGTGCCGGTTCTTGGGTTGTAAGCGTACTTCGTGGTGTGTCGGGTTTCTGAGGGCGGAAAATAGAATTTTAGGGTCATCTGATATCGTCTCTATATTTATAATAGTAAATTACGCTCTGCTCTTCTACAAAGGGAATTGAATACGTTTCTCTGCTGATAATATCATAGTAAAATATAATATTTTGCACTTCACCTTGTATTTAACATAGACTATTACGTGTCGTTACCATAAAATTAATTAATAGTTTAATTAGTTTTCAGATTCGACCATACTTGAGAAATTTTAACTCTCGTTGATTTTATTATCTGCAACGTTAATTCATATAATATATTAATTTTGTTACATGAAAATGAAAAATTATTCATTGATGGGTTTCAGAATTGTATTTATTAACATTCTCTAGAAAATTACTTAATAAAATACAAATATATACATACTTGCTTATATTTTTGTAGTACAAATTTTGATTTCTTTTAGAGCAAATTTCTACCTCAGATTTACTAGATAGAAGTTACTAGGGAAAATTAGAAAGTAAAGTTACTACATACTCTTTCACCTATTTCTCATAAATATACATATACACTTGCACAAACGTGCACAGTCATACTTGCTTATTGTTGATAAACATACCCAGATTTCGATTTCTTTTAGAGCAAATTAATCGAAAAGAATCGAAAAGAATATCAGATTCCAAAATATAATACATAATATAACATACAAAATATAATATAATAACATAATATAATATAATACAAAATATAACAAACATAAATACTAGAATAGAAAATATATTTTTAAAATTTTCCAATGACAAATTAAATTTCTACCCCGGATTTACTAGATAAAAGTTACTAGATAAAGTTACTAGGGAAAAGTAGAAGATAAAGTTACCACATACTCTTTCACCTATTTCTCATAAATATACATACACACTTGTACAAACGTCCACAATGTATTAATAAATTTCAAACATAGAAATCACATATTTGAATAAGCAATCACACTTCAATTATCTCTATCCAGAGCAACAACGTCAACCAATGATTATTATTAATATATTTAATCATAAAATATAACTGACATAATCACACGAAAATTCTCTGACTATCTCAGCACAGATATAACGAATCAGGTAAAACTTGGATACGACGATTAATTGGTAGAAGACAAGAACTAACAAGATTTCGACCCGTAGGGCTCTGGGTACGTGTCCTTTGTTCTTACTGATGGAACACGGTTTACGTGGAAACGATAAAGTCGGGGTCAGGGCGCTCGTAAAAGTACCACTAGGGCGAAGATCTTCGAGATCACTTGGAATAGAGGACCTTGTGCACTGTGCACTTTGTAGGTATATCCTCTTACTCTCGATTCTGGCAGAAAGCTGGACGGTTGGAGGGGAGAAAGTACAGAACAGATATCCTATCTTTTAGAGAATTCATCGGGGCAAAATGAAAATCGCGCGAGTGGATCTGGGGCGCACAACTGAACAATCATCGAGAGGAGGTAGCCAGTGAGTTCAGTAACTAATTATACGAGTAATTGGTACGAGTTTTCAACCACTTATCGAATGGTAATTTTTCGTTTCCATGAATTATCGATGATACGTAGCTAAGTATACTATAATAATAAACAAGGTATGATGAGAATAATTAGGTACACATATGTTTCTGTTTGATTGGATGTTAAAATTGAACAAAATAAAATTATTAATTTTGTATGAAAATAATTGATACCAGTTATTCCACCTGGTTTGATAATTATAATATTAGCATTAGGAAGAATAAGGAATAAAATAAT